TKSTYYRYCCWYCGGACAACCGTTGGACAATCGGCCGCAGAATAGATGTAACACTTTAGGTATCATTTCAAATCTTTCATAAGCTCATTTAGTTTACTTCTATTTTATTTTCTGTCTAGATGTAGAAGAAAAGACAAAAGAGAGAGACAAAGCAGAGAACAAAAGACAATTCCAAAATAACTGAAAAGGAGTGGAGGCACGCAGGAGCTCAAATTTCGTTTCATTCCGACATCACGATGTACTTCCGAAGTCTGCCCGAGTACATTGAACCTTYACGGTTTTCTTCCGAACCGACGACTAGTTCTATTTGAAGTCGGAATTAAGAAGAATATACATTTGACATAGGTGCTAAAATTGAAATTCGCAATATAATCTTCACAAGACTTCCGAGGTACTGAAGTAGATAGTTGATTTTCATGTATCTCGGCACGGCATGACAAACGGTTTGTATATAATAGCGTAAATGGACCCCAGATAGCGGATAGTCAGACGACTTGAAAAGGACCGTCATTAATCGCTCGCGGCGAATTCACAGTGGMCATGTATCATATATATGGTAAGTACTGAGCGGGCACTGTGACCGCCATCTCTTAAATCCGGAAAATCATTACATACATATAACAGATCTATTTTTGATCTCGGCATTGCAGCTGTGGCTGAAATAGTCGATCTTGCGATTACAGTAATAYATTTTTGTATATTAAATTTACGATATATATGCTGGATGAACAAAGAGAATAGGAAAACTGAGATGTGATGAATTTTCGAATGCATGCATGTGGATGAATGGGATAAAGGAATGAATGGGTTTATGAATATTAGTGATTAAATAACTGATTAAATATATAAACAGACCAGGCAGAGTTTGTACAGTAAAAGATTAGCTATAAAAGCTTATTGATATAGTGCGGAAATACCAAGCAAGCTAAGCTGTGCTACCGGGGACAGGAATACATATATTTATTTTCTTCCGAGATTTGCGTGTTTTGACTGATCACAGTGCGCAACTATAAGGTCGGATTTGCTTTGTAAGCGGCAAAGCTTGTTCACTATCTGATCTATTACCCAAAGGACATAAATTGACTATTCTACAATATCTTAATGGGACTCCACGGTGAGTTCTTTGAAAAAAAAATGCCGAAAAGTGCCCCAAGTCGATTTTGAAGACCTTTCAGACCTTTGAATTCAATTTTGTCATCAATCAGAAAAAGACGTCTTAAAGTAATTGGTTATAAATTGACGTTCTTATCCATTGAAGACGAATTTGCATAAGTCGCAATTTGTRTAACCTTGTTTTATTTTGAGGCAGTGTAAAATAGTTCAGTGGGGTGCCGTCTGTTTTATTATTGTGTGTGATCGCAGTGCATGACGGTATTTGTCTGGAGTTGAACACTGTCACAACACAAGTGTCAAGTCCCGACAGGCACTTGATGACTTAGAGAATCTAATATTAACAATATTGGAGTTCTGTTATACTGTATACATTCTCGTTCAATGCCTTTTTGCATACGCATGGTGCGTATCGAGAAAAATGGTGTTTCTTGAGAGGTGCACAGCCATGAAAATGTTAATTCTGCCGAAGCTACTTTGGATCCTCGTCTTCGTTGTACAAGGTGTTGGAAGTCAAAATTCTATMAATCCAAGGCGTTCAAAGGCCAATCTTACAAATGGAGGTATGAATTAATTGATTGTTTAACCGGCTGATATCTGTAAGTCGATTTTGGTTGAGAGTTGTGTTGAGTTTAAGGCGATTTAGGTCCTTGAGTTAAGTGCTGGCGATCAAAAGTTATTCGTCTTTGTGTACGGAGCTAAATTGTTTGTTATTSCAAACAGCTGGCAAAAACCCGTCTATATTTGAAAAACTATCGACTCATGTGTTAGATTGCCTCTATTTGTATAGCAATTCTAAAGAATGTGCTTAATTTATGTAGGGGACTTTAAGTCAGAAAATTAACGTTGATTCCAGCTTGACGCGATGAAGAGTCACTTGCTCTTGTGATAAAACGACTAAAAGCACGTTATATCCCGGGAAATCTTAAGTAATGGGAATTCTTAAGAAGAAACTGTCGACAATTAGCAAGGATATGCCAAAATGTGCTGTTATTTTAGGACTGAGCAAACATCAAAGAACTTCGCGGCAAATCGCGAAGTGTGAACATTTGTTGTTTTCAAACAATACGACCTAAAAAGCTTACTGCATGGCTATAGCGGCCTTTGTGTAAAAGCCAAAATGTCTGAAAAGGATTGATAATCAATTATTACTTGTATTCTTCAAGTTACTTGGATTAGCTTGCAATTACTCTAAAGGAGTAAGATAGCAAAGTTGTAATTTTGAACGASGAAAAAAAAACCCGGGCAATTTCCTTCCTGCGATGTCAATTTCAAACCGCGAGGGCTGTACTAGCTTCTCTTTCTAATTTTGTAGGTTTCCTTTGAATTTAAACAAATAGGCACTAAACCTTTCTKTTCGGTCGTGGTATTAACCTGCCTGTTTACAAAGAGATTCTCTGGATTTAAATTCTGTCTATGATTTTGACAAGGGCATAGGACTATAAAGGAGCCGATTGATTCACGATTACAGAGAGATATGATATGACCGAAGTCGATTCACTTTTAAGCTTGTGGCTTTTAGGGTCACTTTGCAAGACAATTTAAGATCCATTATCAAAAACACGTGTGATTCATTTTTATCTGGAAGGGAATTCGCACTACGCAAATTACGCTCAAAGTTAATACAAATAGTTGCGCACTGTAGGTTCGGTCAAATCCGATAATTCAAATATCAGCCTGCGGCTAACAAATATTTTGCGAAATATGAATCCCTCATTCTCTAGCTCATTCCGTACTTTTGTATGTATTCCTAATTTTTGCCTAAATAAACCATATAGCAAATAGTCGTTATGTAAACATATGGTGTTTTTAAACTAGATATACAAAATGGCTTTGTCTGTGCCATTAATGTTTTTAGACCACCTGCAGAGCGCGGTCCGGTGTTCACATATTAATTGATTTTCACTCAATAGTCGTGTTTCTTGAACCGGTGAAGTTTTTGATAAGAATTTTCGAAGATGAAAAGATTTAAGTAATGCAGGACGCGTGATTGCACATTTTGTTTGTTTTAGTAATGGCTGGCCCAGCAGGAGATTTTGCTCGCAAAGATAAGTTTAATAGTGATGTTGATAGCAGACCTTTAGTTATCTAGCTCCAAAAATGTGCTAGCCTTAGGGCACAGAGGGCTTTGCCAATCCTTACATTGGTTAGGCTGCGTCTCTTGCTTTTAACTAATTCATTGTGGTCAATAAAATAGAGATTGGGGGGCTGTTAAGAATGTGGTCTCTTAAAAAATTAGGTCAGCATGATTTTACCCTTATTTTTGAGCCATTCGTAATTTTATCAGGTTTGTATTGGACAAATGGKCTCTTAGAACCAGCAGGAATGTGTTTAATTTTTGATTTACTCACAAGCGTTTTCATTTAGATTGAAAATGATATTTGGCTTACAACACAGYAGAGTTGGAATTCCCTTGTGCATTAATTGCTCACGCTCAAAGCAAATCTCCAGCAGTCTTTAATTGAATGACTGTGGAAAGTATGACTTGGACCAAGACACATGGCACAGCMTTATAGTCACAAAAGCTTAGCTTGGCACTTACGCCATAGAAAACATTGAACAGAGATTTGAGACTACACCTTATGTTATAAGACAAACAATTTAAAGCATAGTTTTTGCATACTTATGTGAGAGCTGCTGTGAAAGTATTGCTGAAATGTTCCATCTTCACACAATCTGAATAGCCTGAAAAGGGAACAATCCTATGCAAATACAATATTGCCTAGAAATTAAACAAGGAAGTGTTCAAAAATAAATATTTTGATTTTGAAAAGCAAACCAATTATTTTGAAAATGTGCTTTTTTTCTTTTTTATTATGTTTTTTTTATTATTTCGATTATTTGTATGAAAAAAAGAAACGTATGGAAAAAGACCAGAAATAGAACTTTTRAAGTAAATATAGAATCATGTTTTCATTGTAAATTTTCCATTTTACCATGGTTTGCATACAAATGTTTATTTTTTTGAAAAAGCCAAATCCAAGTCTGCTGTCAATGAAAAAAAAAACTAATTTGCATTTAAATTGAAAATTGTTATATGTAAATAATAGAACTGTCCATTTTTTTTCTCAATGCTTGTTTTTCAAATCGAAAAATGTACAATTTTTGGTCATTTGTATTGTAACCTAAATCTTAACCTTGAAGAAAAGTGCCTTAACAGAATCTCCTTTCTTTGGTGGCTTCATCAGATATAAGGTTAATGAGACAGATAAAGGAGAATTTATCTTTTAATAAATTGTATTATAATAAGGTACAATGAATCTTACATTTTTTTAAATTGCTATTCAGATAAGGCACTCGCAGATCGATAGCCATCTTAAATGTTGCAATGAAAATTTTACAGCAAGATGAGCCGAACCATGATATTTAATTAGTACCTGTCTTATTTTTTTGTCGTATCCACCACATTGYGTAGGAAACTTCCGCTTTAATGTATTTCCAGTATTTTCAACCATAATTTCTCTAAGATTATAATACGAAGCAGTAGTTCTTTAAAATACCAAAATCCTTGCTATTTTATTGGTTAACTTATGCAAGACTTTGCTAGGATGATTTGATTTTTGGTGAATATTTCAGTTTGAATATTCAAATCTTGGTGAAAATTGATGTTTTAACTGGTCAGACGTTCAAGAGTGTTGCTGAACATTATATCTGCCTACATTTCACTGCTGTCAAGATATTTTTTTTTGTCCTTGTCTAGTGTAAATTTGATGCATTTCTTTATTTTTTTTCATGTTTACAGTACCCTCATGTCCTAAAGTTTTACACAATTCATACTCTGTTTGCAAAATGACATGTCTTATTGACGAAGACTGTGCAAATCATGGAGATGATCTTAAGTGCTGCCCAACAAGTCCTGGAAGCAAATGCAAAGCTGAATGTAGACAAGCAGTGTTGAGTCCTCATGGAGGAAGTAAGAAATAGAATCACTTTGTCTTATAATTATTTATTTACATGTGGATAAGTTGACTGGAGTACATTTAAATAAATGTGAAATCCTATTAAAACTTTAAAATTCCATTGTTAGAAAAATGATTTCTGTAAACCATATTATTGAATCTCAAATCTTTATAAATTACATTGGTTTTCACTAACTATTTTCACTGTAATAATTCCTATAAAGAATTATATCAATAACATCATTTTATATTCATGACATTGTGTCCGAAAAACCTGTTTTCCTTTTTGTCTTTTCAGAAGTATGTTATGATTTTAAAAAGGGAAGGAAATATGTCATAGGTGATGTTTTTCAAAGAGATGGCATCTGTTGTCAGTGTCGTGCTGGAGGGGTTGTGAATTGCTCACTGGCAAAATCTTGTACTCAAGGTAATGTAAATACTCCAAAAATTATCACATATTTGGCCCTAGAAGTCCAGAATTGCTAGGTTAAACATTTTACGTTTATAGTTAATAAAGTATGCTCTCATTGTGGCTCACCATGTTGTTAAAGAGTTSAGACACTTAGTTTGCCGCTCACGCACGCACATGAAAAAAAGTAATTACAAAAATATAAAACAGGTGTTTTATTGTGTCCCTGTTCTTTGATATAAACAAAGAGGTAGATTGATTAGACCTGAATTTTAAGCAAGAGAAGTGCTTGCTTAATGCTATGCTTGCATTTCAAAGCTTGCTTCTTTTAGTGCCCTCCATCTTCAACTGTGTCTATATCAGAGACAAGTGTCCATTTTTTATTTTTTTAAATGGAGATTAACTCTTTTAATAACCCTCCATCTACCTATAGTTTATCTATTAAAAATATCCCTTGAACAGGTTGTTATTATGGATCCAAGTACTATAAAGAAGGCGATAGCTTCTTTACAGCAACTAAATGCCAAAACTGGTAAGGCAACTAATATATAGTGTATTTGAACAATGAGAAGTGGATGCGAAAAAAAWTTGGGGGACTGTTTGGGGCAGCACCCAGGAACATGCTGGTAATTCATTGGTCGGCTAAATCCAGAATGAAACTAAAGAATGAAGCTGTAACAACCGCAGGCCTAATGGCCAGGGGATCACAATGACTCTYAAGATTTGCAAGTCTGTGAGTGCTTGTCATAAGCTCCTTCAGTTGGGATTTCTTTTTTGTATTATTAAATATACATTTGTCCTAGTTTTAGATAGAGATKGGTAGTAGCATATTTATTCAGTAGGGATATGCAAAATTATTTTATTATTACTTTTACATTGTATATTATATTTGTATTTTTTTAGTTCATGCCGTAAAAGCGTTATCTACTGTAAATATAATCCAAATTGTACACAAGGTAGGATATGAAGTAGTCAGCATTTTTCAACCTTCTAGAACTCATTAATAATTCATGAGCTATTAGTCCAATCAGAATCCAACTATTGGGTCACATGATGGACCTTTATATCCCGATAAAGCACTGATGTTTTATTAATCAGTTCTATATCAGATATAAAGAACTGATGTTGAAGGTCATCAGCGCTTTATCGCAACCCAACACTAGCCAAGGTCTCAGTTTTAATGCCGCATCATAGACCTTTGCTAGGTTTTAAATCAGTTTGAATCAATGTACAGACATGCARTATAGCATAGACTAGCCGTTCTTACGTGTGGGATCAAAATTCTTTCATTTGTGACAAATGCACATGCTCAGTAGAAGTTTAACATGCATAATCTTTGTTTTCGCATTTTTTAGCTTTTTTCTAAAATGATAACAATTTCTGGATGTTGGAGTTCTAGAAGTAGTATAAAAAACTCGCAGTCATGCTTTATCGGGGATATAGACACTTGGCCTTTGCCCTCGTGTCTATATCTCCCGATAAAGCACCCCTGTTCGTTTTTTAAACACTACATAGACAATTTCCAGTATCCAAATAAGTAGGTTGACTGGTCTTAAATAGAAGTGTTTAAGCAATGAATTCATTATTTTTAACAGAAAAATGTCAATACAAAGGTAAAATTTATAAACCAAGTCATATTCTCAGGCTTGACAAAGGGTGCAAAGAATGGTGAGTAAATAAGTCTGTAAATCATATCTTATAATGTAAGTCCAACTAGTCTTTTGAGAGAAGAGTATGTTGGTAACACTGGTAACACTAAACATCTAGTGTTTAGAATTAGACACCCTTAAAATATCATTAATTATATTATTGAGAATTTTATCTGGTTGACTGAAACTGTTGCTTATATTTCTTCAGTGTCTGTGAAAGCCAAGGTTGGAATTGTAATGCCATTACATGTGATGCTCGTAAGTTGAAACAATTTCACTGTCATGATAAATAGAGGATATTACATGCGCATGCGGCGATACAGATTTTATCTTCGAGTGTTGAAAAAATCTCTAACGAGTGAGTGCAGTGAAAAGTGAAAATTTATAACAACTTTAAGATGAAGAAATATARGTATTTCATAAATAACTTATATGATAAAACCATTTAACAAAACCTTTTTTCATTGTTGTCCTTTCTTTTCTATATTGCACTTACTAATTATATAATTTTTATAACAATTGAATAACGATGGTTCTATATAATCAGCTGCGCAATCATTCCATATTGATAATATAATTAGCACTTTCAACATTCTTAACATGATTATTATTTATTTCCACTAGAACAATCCATGTCATCGTMTGCGTCACCCTTGCGATTTAACTCTATTACGATCWTACTACTACAAGCACTGTTGCCAGGCTACTTATCAAGTTAGCAGTTAGTCTATAGTACATGATTAATCATTATTGTTATTTTTTAATATTAGTCCCTTTTGGACGGTAACCTGTACATACCTGTGTATATAAATTATAATGTTTTTTTAAGAATTACGGTGTTTATTTGGAGTGTCATAATAATAATAATATTTTATAGAGTCAAACTAAACATTCCATCGATATTTGTTATTTAGTTGAGTTCATTAATGAATTACTACTAACATTAATTATTGATTTGATATAATGATTTGTTTTGATGTTTGAATGTTATACAAACAATAATATAATAATCAAGTCACTCATTTAAATGTTGTTTTGAAATATTGTGTTACCAAAATTTCTTTTTTTGAAGAATATGTAAAAAATTATGAAATTTATACAAACAAGAACATAATCAAGTCACTCATTTCAAATGTTGTTTTGAAATATTGTGTTACCAAAATTTCTTTTCTTGAAGAATATGTAAAAAATTATGAAATGGTGCATTTTAATCATCAAAATGCACTTTTCATGGTGTAAATGAAAGGTTGATTATACAGTCATATATGGCGTATAAATACAGAACTTTATAGATGGCAGAGAGTTAGTAAACTTGACTCATTGTTGGTTCAATTTGCAGTAATGTGTCAATATAAGTATTGTCAGTAACATGCAAAAAAGGTGTGTGGTTCTATTGTATTTGAATTGTAGACCATTTGTGATCAGGAAAGTGGTTTTATTTGAGTCTAGTATTAAGTACTTTCATTTAGTTTGTCTAAGAGATGTATTGTTAGACCTTTGTATTTCATGCAATGGTTTAAATAACATTGTCCTAGAGAAACTAATGGAAGACCAAGTCAAAGCTATATAAGGTGACCATTACAAAGTTCACCCACAGTACTGTATTTCGTCCCTACTAGTATAAATCGTTTACCAGTGGTATTGCCACTCTCATCTTAATAATAATAATAATAATAATAGGGAGTTTGTTTAAATATGGTGATTTTGTTAAAAAGTTGTTTTATTTTTGATCTGTAATAAAATTAGAGATTTCTCAAATAAAATGTTTTGATTGCTTTGTTTACTTTTTCATATAAAATGTTCAATAGTCAACAACATTTTGTACAGAACTTGAATAGTTTATTCCAGCAACCGATATTTACAAGACCACTATGTATTATATTACCAAATAATTGTATTTACAATATTGATGAAAATCATGAATACTTCTCATTTCCAGCATCATCTTCAAAGGAGATTCTCTTCTGTTGCTTCAACATGAGACATTGTTTTAGGTTCTATACACTCATTCCAAATATATAGCAGATTTTGTGTGACTTTTGCAGGAATGGTGTTGTATTCGTTTGTGAGTATAGTATTTTTAATTGGTACTAACACCAGGCAAGGTGCTGCGATGTTATACAGTCATACAAAGTCTGCTCTATCTATCATTAATGTAAGCTCAACCACTGAGTTTCAAWGAAAAGGCAGARATTATAAACCTTGTCCACTGACTGTTAACTGTCGAAATATTTTTGAATATATTCTGTTGTGTTTTTTTAAAAGTTACTTGRGAAAATTGTTCTTTCAAGATGTTATCTTTTTGTCTATGTTTCAATTAGTATGAAACGTGTGTAACATTGAATACTACACAATATCCTTATTATGTTAAGCAATTAAAGTGGATAAGACAATTTTGAGGGTTTAAAATGGTTTGAAAATGAAGATGAGATTCATGTCCTGACATGTATTTCTGGAATACTTGAACAATAATGTAATGCATACAATTTATGGCGTTACAAATGTCGAATGAAATAAGTTAATGTGATAATAAATTATATTAGACATTACATTTCACAAATAACAAACCTGAAGTAATTAGAGATAATTAGAGATGTTTGCTTATTTAATAATTATTTAGTTATTGTTTTCTAAATATATTAGCCTGAGTATCACGCTCTCTTGAAGGGGTTTGGGGTGGAGCCAAACCCCTTCGAGAGAGCCTGATACTTGGGCTATAAATATATTAATCTAAAAGGTCAATTATTGTTTCATTATAATTTTCCATCTGAATTTACAGATAGTGCATGTCATTTTTTATAATTAGATACTACCTGTCATTATTATTTCTTATTTTTCTTGTACTACATTCTAATGGCTGATTCTTTGTACTGGCCACGTATCTCCAGGATTATTTTAAGAGGTTGCACATACCATCGCATTAATTTCTTGCTTATGGCCTTGGTTAGTTGAATAGAGTTTGAACTGAGGAATTCCTTCATGATGTAGTACAGATCAGTCTAAAAAATGAAACATAATCTGTTAGAATATTATACCTGTTAATTGCTTGATTCAGGAATGAAGAAGGGGGAAGAGATGTTGACAACTTCGATCCATCAAGTGATTTAGCATGTCACATATTTTGCATCATATTCTCTTTGATGTTCATGACAAATAGCATCGATAGTTGACAGGTTGGACATGGCTGTCCTTTCCTGCAACTCTTCTTTAATTTGTTCTTTACTGTCGGTGTTAATTATCCTTATTATTATTTTTATTATATTATTATTATTATTATTATTATTAATCTGTTAATGCAGCACTTAAATAAAAGACTAAAACATCAACAACATTACATACCTCTGATCTGGTCACTACTATTCTTAATAGGTCTTTATGTCGACTTAGTTTATCTAAGGCTTTGGTCATTGCCATGGAAAAGAATGTTGGAGGGCTTATTGTACAGCAAACTAAAGAAAGCAAAAGATTACTGTATGCTTAAAAGAAATAATTATCTGATAAAGTATAGAGTAGATTGTTAAACTGTATGGCACTTCTGTAAGTGTGGCTTGCATTCTGTGGTAGCAAATGTAGCAGCCCTAAAGGGATTGGGGAGGGCCACTCATTCTGGTGGGTATTGCAGCAACATGGCACAGATTATAATGCCAATCAACAGAAACAAAAATTCAAAACAATAGGAATATGGATCTGTAAATTATTGTAGACTTACCATACGCCTTCAGTGCCTTCTGAAAGTCCACTGACTTATCCTTGTATTCATTATCAATATATCTGTCCATTGTTTGGAAGTAGAGAGTCTCAAATTCTTCAAATGTTGCTTTAAGTTGGTTCCTCCCTAATGGTTCACACAGTAATTCAACAAGATCACCGTAACTTTGAAGTCGTATCGCCCTTTCTTGTGCAACCACTCTATCTGCTTTAGAACGTTCTCCATCTATGTTTACTGTACAAAATTTGATTAAGAGTTCACACAAATCCTTGTCATCTATGCCCAATAAGTCATGCTCCAAAGAATGGCAGAACTCTACATGATTGGATGCAAAATAAATGAAAATTAGAATGTTATAAATACATGCGAAAAGTAGAACTCAAATGTCAAATTCAAAGATGAGAAACCATATGTAAATCATGTATATTTATTATGTCAAAAGTAAATATTCAATGATGAGCTAGAAGTAAAACATACCATCCTCATATTCCTCTTTTATCTTTTCAATTTCATAAGCTTTCCTTGAGCATATAATCTCAGTGAGTGTGTCATTATCATTATCTTTTATTGCTTCATGAAGTGACTTTGAGTCGTACACTTCTGGTCGGTATAGCAGTGCTTGCGCTGCCTCCTTGTAGCCAATGCTAAGCTCATCTTCAAGTACGCTTAAAAGGTCCTGAATAAAAATGGAAAATTAGCTGTCATTTTAGTGTAGCATAAATAAAATTAGAATAAGTGATGGTGAAGATGCAGTAGAAGATTGGTGATGCATAATGGTGGGTAGATAGATTCTCACCACCATAAATCTATGTATAGTAGCAGTATGCAGTGAGCTGTCCTCTCACTATGAAGAAATTTGAGATTGACACATACTTCTTCATATACTTTCTTGTAAGAAGCTCTTATCCTTTGCCTTCCCCTGTTCTTGTAGTGGGCTAGCAGTGTAATTATGTCCTCCCCGTTTACTCTAAATGACTTGACAGCTCTGTGAATTCTCCCTGCTTCTATGTCCCAGTCACGGACAGTGGCTTTGCGCAAGTGAACCTGCCAAAAAGTAATTTTAAGTAATTTTAAAACAACAATGATGAAAGAGTATTGCATTTGTTCTCCTCTCAATAAGATATTATCAATATAATGTAACTGACATCTAATTCAATAATTTTAAATTCATCGTTTTAAATTACCATATTAACTAATTATTACATCATTTACTGTAAATATTATTATGAAAAACAAGCAACATATAATATATTTTAGCAGTGATTACAGTTTCCAAGGCAACATTACTACAAAACCCTGCTGGAGAGGAGTGGGATGGGTACTTAAAGAAAGCAGAAAAATTCGCGGAACTTTTGAACTGCATTGTTTGGTAGAATAGATATAATTGTTTATTAAGTTTTTTTTGTTTTGCGTTGAAAACTAATAAATTTCAATATTACAACTTAATGAAAAAATCAATTTATTATTACTGCCAGATTACTACATAAAAGGAGTGTTAGCGTTTAAAAGGAAGGAAAAGTTAACAAAGAAATATATGTACAGCATTCGCATATCTTTTAGACAGTACCATTTCCTAATCCTGTATTAAATTTAATTTTTTTAATTACTCGTCTATATTTTGAACTGGAAAGTTTAACACTGCTCTTACGAGTCACCAAACAAACGTAGAACTTACGGTAAACAATCTTAAATATCATGTAATGTTAAAATTATCATATGTGGGTTTTCTGTTTTCGTACAAAATTCCAAGCAATTTCCTCGACAACACAAGAGGATTAACAATAACGAAGAATAAACACATGGACCTTATTAAAATTGTATGGCACTTTCTCAAAATTCCCGCGTTCAGAAAGAATTTAAATTAAACTTTTAGAGCAACAGCTGGTCGAAGTTTCGAACAACTTTAATTTGATACGATCAAAATAGTCATTGGTGGCAAATAATCTCTGGTGGAAAATTTTGGATTTACATAAATTATGACAAGTTTGAGCACCAAAAGTTCTGATATCGCACAAAAAAGCCATTCATGTGCTATCGAATGGTTGATCGTGTACAAGAATACATAAAGTTAATCAATTTCACGGAGTAGAGGTCGTGATTATCGTATGAAATGTCTTGAATTAGCAACCTATTCACGAGTTCGGTAATTAGAGAAAAGAGGCACCCAAAATAAACTCACATTGATGTAAGCTCCGCTCTGGATCGACTCGCTACACCCCATTAGCGCGTGTTCCTTCCTTGAKTCTCCAMGAAAACCATTCAAATGCCAGTGAGTGTTCTTTTAGTATMACTTCTAACTCAGACGCTCTGATCCTTTGCCTGTCGACTTGTTGGCTAGCAGCTCTCGATTGCCTATCAACAGGTTGCATTAGCATAAAGTACACAATCCAAGCTGTCACTTCTGCTCACTTTGTCATTATGAAGTGAGTGGTCTTACGTCACCATGACTGAGGTTGCCTTTTCGGGTTCACAAATAGTCCTTACGAATTCCCTAATGTTAGCGTAACTATCCAACACACCCTTATCAACTGATCACTTACGCAAGAGGTAGGTTTACAGTAAACATCTGTTTTGCGCATCGTAGTATTTATGGTTCACTTGATACGTAAACTATCCTGGAAACTTGATATGTCTTACAAGACTGAATGGAGTGGAACGGAATTATCATGAATTCATGAAGTAGCCAAATCAATATTTCTGAATGTAGTTGGAAGACGACTGTTATATACTTTTTTTAGAGAGTAAAGGTACAAATATGATAAGGTCAAACCATAGTAAGGTCATCTGGTTCAACCCTGCTAATCTTCACAAAAGTCAGTAGAAATGGACTGATTGAGAAAAGTTGCCATAATTAAATCTGATGAATTTATGGATGGGTGGGGTCTGCCCTCCCGTCGTTATTGGTCAAACGAGCACTCAGTTTAGTAGACTATCAGCACAAATTATGCTAGTATCTCTTCGAAGTCCTTCCTGTTRTAGATTTTCCTGTMACTCCCAATATTGTTTCGGTAGGRCTAAGCCATTGGATATTGTTGCATGGAGTTCCCATTGTGAGGGTCGGCGTTATCACAGTGAACATTTTGTTTTCCTAAAGAAAGAATCGCGTACTGTTGAAACTAATATTTAATAGGAATTACAATGAAAACATAAAATATGAGTGGGGAAAAAAGAAGGAAAAAAGGAAGAAAGAAAAGTAAAAAAAGAAAAAATAGTCCGGAACGGGACTCGATCCCTTGATCAAAAATTCGAAAAAGATTGGGACGATTCCCCCGAGACATTCTGTGAAGCTGAGGCGTCGAATCGATTTACATTCCGGTTAGAGATTTCGGCTCTTCCATGCTATCCCGATAATTGGTCCTAACTTCGCGCTAACTAAAAAGCCAGTGAGGGAGAAGCTATCCGGCCCCTAGACACTGATGGATAACCCCTTGCACTAACTAGGCAACTATCGATAAATATAATGTCAAATTGGGRTAGTCTATTCGGTGAAAGTGTCAAGTGGTCTATTATTATGTAAATGAGTGTGGTCCAGTGGCGCATCTTGTTAAGGCAATGCTGTTCGGATCCAAAGAATATAGGATCGCCCGRGGTCGAATCCAGTTCTGATCACACAGTTTCATAATATAAATTTTTATCAATTTATTTCTATATTTTTACATATACCATATTCTATTTTTTTTATCTTGACATTATCTTATTCATTTCATTTTGTTTTTGAATAAATTCATGTTGTTGTTTTTATTTATTTATTTTTAACCAGAAATTAGCAAAATACGTGGGCTTCCTGTGCCTTCTCGACCCAGTCTTAACGGTGGTRTCATGGCGGACGAGCAGTATTAACAGCGATGAAATGGCGGCGAGGGTTTGTGAATTTTTCAAGTGTTTTATGGAGATTATTACATTCATACTTGCTTAGTAATTCAAAAAATTATGCTCTCTTTATTGTTTCGGTTGCAAATTGTATTATMAAGGTGTTATCAAGTTGTAAATTTATGTTATGAAGCGGGAGTACTCCTACTGCGGAAGTTGTAGTACACATCTTGCTATTAAGTAAAAGACTTATTATTAAAACGTTACTTTTTTATACACGCAGGGGTTTTCCTTCAAGGAGCTCTCTCAAAGGTACGATTATCTATTAGACATTAAATAGCAGCTTCAGCTCGCGTTCACGATGTCCTCTTTACTTCAGCACTTAACCTGAACACATTCTAGAAATTTCTCTCCTTTTTGTTGTGACACCTTTGTTATTAATTATTAGTTAATGAAGCTTATAGAATACAAAACTATATGATTCAATGAATTTATTTCATTAGGTATTCACAGTGCTTATTGATTTATTATTGGTGAATGATTAAAGTTCATCCATTAATTGATCTAATGATTTATTAATATGTTCAGATATAGCTATGGCATATAGTAATTGATATTCATTAGTATTCTCCATTTTCTCATTCATGCCATTTTCCATCTACTTTATCCAAGAACACTGAAAGTGTCACTGTTTTTGTTTATCACATGTTTTATAAATATTTTGTTGTTAGAACTAGCCTAGCTGATTTTGAATGGGATGATGAAGAGGAAGACAAAAAGCCMAAGAAAAACCCATTTGATTATGGTGAATYTGATGTGTCATTTGAAGCCTCAGCATTTGAATTGAGTAAGAAAGAAATCAAAGAGTTCCTTAATACATCAAGGGGAATCACCTATGCTGATGACAATGATGACTCACTAGGGGAGCCATGGGGAGGTGCTCAGTTCAGCCTAAAAACTGGTAAGAATATATGTCAATCAAGGGTAACTGGGATATTCACCTAGTGATGACTCACTAGGGGAGCCATGGGGAGGTGCTCAGTTCAGCCTAAAAACTGGTAAGAATATATGTCAATCAAGGGTAACTGTGTTAAGCGTCAATTGGGATATTCATCTAGTGATGACTCAGTAGGGGAGCCCAGGGGAGGTTTATCACAATGAGAACTTCAATGAAATGACTTGAACTGTTTTAGAGATCCCATGTTGATGATAACATGTTATTTAATTCATTCCATAGAGAAACCAGCAGAAGCTTCAAAGTCAGCCAGATTTCGATCTGAAAGTTTTGACAATCAACASTTCTCACAATCAACTAAGTCATCGTCATCTTCA